TGTACGGACGCCCTCACGGTCGTTAGTTAAATTGTGTCGTGACACAACCAAAATGATCCTCTATTCCCCCTCCCCCCCCCCCTTGAGACATGTGATGGTCGGTCCCTTAGGAAGAATTTGCACATCCGACTGAAAACTTAGCAACTACTAACCAAGACTGCCACGAGACTTTTAATTTAATTAAAACTAAGTTTAAGTTAGTTAAAACTAAGAACTGATTTACGATACGTCACCGTGGACATGGAGCAACTCAAATTTGCTTGGTTGAATCTGTTTCAACAGCCAACATGTTATTAACGAGTACAAGAGTTTATAATCTCTTGTGAGGTATTAACGTTTCCCTCCAAATGAACTTCCGATGAAGATCGCAAAGTTTCAATAGTATAACGCCAGCCGTCTTAAAGCGAAAACGTCACCATATATGCATGTTGCTTGATACAAGCTTTGGTGCTAGCAAAAAGCACAGAGCGGACGATTCTTGCTCGTTGTTTCACAGCCCATTCGAAGGTACAAAGTAACAGGTGTCCCTTAATTTGCAGAGAGGCACGAACGCACTAATCGATGTCGAAGAAAAGTTTCTTCGAGATCTTCATCAGGCGCCGTCACGTTTTCACAATGCTTTACGGTATGTCGGGAATTTTCCTCTCATCATCACCACCAATATGGACGAGTTGTTAGAGATCTTTCTCTGGAAGACTGGGAATGGTGGCGAGAAACTACGACTGGACCAGGTTGGTAAAATGGAAAGACGTTTCGCTTTAAATGTATCTGCGTCAAAGTTATTTTTTTCCTGCGTCAAACCTTGGAGAGGTCTTATGCTCCAAACTGTTCTAACCAAAGTTTTGATTTTATTTTGCAACCATATTATGATTTTCCTTATTAAGCCATTCATTGGGAATTTCTCTGAAGCGAATGATTCTCTATTCGTTCCTGTAGAGTATTCATAGGTCAAGTGACTCCTATTAGTGCTCTAATTCAACTGTCTTTCATTCAATGATCAAGATAGTATATTTTCATACTCATACTTAGTTATTTTGCTTTGACTTAGGAAAATATCTTGACAACGCGATTGAGTAACAGTTAGTGTTCTCACAGTGTTTACGCTATGTAGCGCAATATACTACAGTCCCTATATCCCAGACGGTATTTGATTATCTTGCTCCCAACGAGTATGCTGTTGGTTTACAAAGTTCGGTTAAGAATGTGTAAGAGCTTTCACCTTTGAGAGTTATTTGCAGCCGGGCCCATCTCCTAGCATTTAAGATGGACTCTCTTTGCCATAAATTTCTGGGAAATTGCTCATTAATTTCCCGTTTAATTTTAACCTAGACCAAAAAGGGCACAAAGAAGAGAGAGGGAACGTTGAAAGTGAGAAGGGGAGAAACCAATTCGCTTGCGTTTCACTTGGTGCCATTTGACGGGTTATTCAGTGAGTTTGTACATCGTATTTCAGATTTCTTGTCTCTCCCAGTCCTGGCCAGACCTGGGTAGAGATGTGATCATCAAGTGCCTTGGGGACGGTGGTTTTACCGTGCGGCCGTTGGTAAGTTATCAGGGATCTGCCACCGTAAGGTGTCGTAGTCACATTGGATATCGTGTAGAGTTTCAACCATGCAGCTCTGAAAACCCTTCTTGATTTCAAACACGGTTGCAAAATTGTTTCGGTGGCTTTTCTCCTTGCACTGCCGCTACCTGATTACGCTCGATTTTTATCTGCTCATAATGTCGAGTGTGTTCTTTTTTTTTTTTTTTAATTATTTTCAGCCAAGTAGCAAGAATTACTTTGAAGATTTCTGCACTGATCTTGAAGGTCCTGAAGTGGAATTGATGCAGCAAATATTTGATGAGAGATCTATCCTGTTCCTTGGCTGTGACCCCGAGCGCACGGAGTACAAAAATTTCTTCCAAAAATTTGCGGTTAACGCCAAGGTAAACAGCTATTGAAATTCGTAACTAGCTCTTCGTGGTTTTATTCTTCCTTGACCTGTTTCCTTTTCGATTTCCCAAGAGGTCACTCTGCACTTTCGAAGTGAAACTTTTTGTTGTTATTCTTCGTTCCTTCAACAGATGAAACATTACAAGTTTGAGACTTACTGGGACTCAGACCTTCATGAAAATGGAAATCTTCTTACATTAAAGGCAATCATACAACCGTGGGAGTTCGTGCAATGTTTGAGTACAGGCACAATTCAAGAAGAATTCCAGTCAGGAAAGGTAAGTATAAAAATGGTTACAATTGATGAAAAGCTCTCCGCTGTCCACAGTAGTTTAATGAATGACGGACCTAACGTGCCCAACTAACTATATCAGTCTTTGAAAGACCAACTGAGGAAACAGTGAGTGTTTACGTGGGAAACTGGCGTCGATTCGTCGACGCACTAATCGGATTGGCAACTAGTCAATACGATGGCTGACCCACTTATCAGCAGGGCTAGCTGATATTGACCCGTGACCATACCTAACAAGCAGCTAACTTCTGGTTCAGCAACCTACGAATTGTTAAAAATTAAACCTCTTTTACAGTTAAAAAGTTTAATTATGTGTCTGTATAGATTGATAGCTCACTTTCTTTTCTAAAGGTATATGAAAGATCCTACCTGCGAACTCAGAGGGAAGAGTATCTTAAAGATCAGCTCGCACTGGAGAAAATGGCCTCGGAGATAATATTTCACACAATTGATATCACAAACGCTTTGTCGCCTGACGAATACTTTGAAAATATTTCACGTTCCGCCATTCAAGATATATTCTCGAATGATCCTTTTGGTAAAGTCCCGTTTTGTTGGTGCGAACTAACTTCCATTTCAAAATAGAGTTAAGCTGTACTTATTATCTGCTTTGAAACTTAAGCCCGTTGTCGGTCTAGTTGTTTTGCCTTTGTTAGTTAATATGGGATTTGTGACTGGGGTAAAGAGAGACCTACCTATAGTAATCTGACAGAGAGGGGGAAGCGATGGAAATTTAAAGGGGGTGTATGATAGAAAGTATAGGGACGTTTTCCACAATTCATTTTCATTTTCCTGAAGAACCTATGCTGCTTTCATTTCCTATGAAGGTGTGTACTCGGAGGAGAGGGTCCAGCGGACGTTGGATGCAATGAAAGGAAGACGTGACAATCTAATAAAGGTGAGTAAATATTGGGATGGTCGTAATACAATCCTGCCTTTAAAGGATGGAAGTCGACTAAGGAGGGCTCATTTCTATGATCACAGCTTATAACTGAATCAAACACCAGCGTCACTGCCTTGTTCTTCTACCACGGAGTGAAGATAGAGATAGGAGGATGGAAGCATATTGAGAAGATACCCCCTCCGTCCGTGGAGGAAAAGCAGAAAATCCTGCAAAAGTGTAAGATTTCTATTAGTAAATACGCAAAGGCCATTCTGCTTTGCAAGTCGTTCATGCGAAGTAACAGCTCCTTGGAAATTCTCATTGTCGGTGATGAGGAAA